ACTCACACAGAGACATGTAGGAGGAGATGTATGAAGGCAGCAGACCAAGAAGTGATTTAAAGATGAAAATGTACCAGTGAGAGAGTCTGTGTGAAGTTAATGGTGAACAGTTAACCAGTGGATACTGGGTGCAGTGGTGGGTACGGTAGTTACAGCCAGTTATGAATCTTAGTGCACCATGATAGACAGCATCCAACATCTGCAGCATCCAACATCTGCAGGTTCTTGTAGGTGCGTTCATATAAATAATGTCATTGTAAAAGACAAGCTGCAGGTTTCTTTTCAAATGCTAAAGGAGAGTTGGTGTCACTATAAGAAAGCAGTTAAAGCTGCTAAATCTAAATACTTCTCTGATTTAATTGGCTCCAACTCCCACAACCCCCGAGTTCTTTAATCCACCCTGAACTCAGTTCTACACCTGTGTGAACCTTCATCTCTGGAAGCCTCAACTGAACTGTGTGAGAACTTCCTCCATTTCTTCTTGGAAAAAGTTGTGAACACCCGGGCACTCATTTCTCCACCAGCTCACGATCCTTCCATTCCATCTCAATGTGCAGCTGTATTTGACCACTTTGAGCCCATCTCTCTGTCTTTTCTGGAGCAGGTAATGTGCAGCATGAATCCATCTGGTTCCCCCTTTGATCTGGTCCCCCCTCGATTACTAAAGTAGGGTTTTCCTACTCTGGGTCAATCTATTCTTGCTATTGTGAATAGCAGTTTATCCTCAGGTGTGGTGCCAAATACTTTTAAACATGCTGCTGTCCAGCCTCTCCTGGATAAAACCAACATTGACCCCTCAGTCATGTCCAACTTCCGCCCTGTCTCCAGACTCCCATTCACCTCTAAACTACTGGAAAAATAGTTTAGTCTCAGTTGAAGTGCTTCTTGGAGGATCACACTATCTTAGAGTTATTCCAATTGTAAGAGCCTGCAGCTCCTTGTCCAAGATGGCTGCTAATTATCAACAGCTGTTGAACATCAACCTGATGAGGATCATCTCCTACATAAGGTTGCAGTCCAGTGTTAATCTTCGCTGGAGCATTGACCACCTAATGGTATTGTTGTCTCCGGCCTGTAAATTTATGTTAAGTAAATCTACTTATCAGTCTCTTCTTGTCTCCAGCGTTCCTGCCTCCTCGGTCCTGGTTCCCCTGTT